GTGAATTTTTCCATATAATGTATATCATCAAGGTGCACAAGGGGCGCCGATCTCCACCATTTTCCGGCCGAGGTCCAAGTATCAGAATGTCTAACCGGATCCCGTATCACAGACCGTCTCACAAACCCATGGTGGTCCACTTCATCCCAATTCCACACAAACAAAGCACAACATATTCACAGCACAAATAATCAAACAATTCAATCAAGTGCAGACATATCTATCAGTTGAACATCGTAATGCAGTTAAATAATTAAATAATTAAATGAATAATAAAGATAATAAATAAATAATTAGAGCACTCTAGTTATTATGCATTAAGTTGTAGAATTAGTCTAAATAAACTTATTCATTATGTTATGAATTAAAACTAGTCTAGGTTCTATCGAAATTTCAACAGCATCTCCCCTAAAAGTAGGATTATCTACCTGTTTATTTAAATATCACAATAACATCACATATGTTTATCAATCAATACACACAGCCCATCCGTCGGGTAATCAATCAATTTAGAACCCCATCCTCCTTCTAAAACAACAATGTCAACACTCAACCATTAATTTACAACAATAATGTTCCAACGATAATGACGATCATTATTTACTTCACATAATTATAACTAGCTTCTATAGCTAATTACCAAACAAGTGAAAGCTTTAATACATATATAGTCGAATAAAACTTATATCATTAAGTTAATTTCAATTAGTTAATTTCAATTACTTTCATTTTATAGTTTCGTAGTGTCTAACTATTATAGTACTCTTTATCAAGATTTCATTTCTTCATTCTTGCTTAAAGATAATAACCACATATTTATACTTTTGTTAAATTTATATTAACCAATAAAAACGAATGCTTCTATTAAATTAAAATCTAAAGAATAAATCTACTAGAGATTTAACTTACTAAAAATATACCGATTAACTATTCCTAGCAAGAATTAAACCTACTATTTCGAATATTTCCATTTATCTTTTGCTTTTGGATTCATAACAATCATTCTGAATGTTTCGCATTAATAAGTTCAAAATTAAATATATTTACCTATCAAGGTTCTCTAACAAGAATCACAATAATTTTAACTAGGCCTATTTCAGCATAAAATTAAAACTCCTCTTATCCCAATTCATGTCAATTTCCATGTTTAGAAAACATTAAAATCCATATAAAGCTATAAAATTCAAACAAGACAAATAATCACAATCAAATTCAGACCCAAATCAAACTGACTTAAGCCATTTTCTAATAAAATTATGTTTCTAATAAATTATGCCATTTACTTTCAGCTTCGATTTACTTAAAGATTAACTTTTATTAACTAATAGAATATTGAAGCTTAATAACTAAAAGATCCACAAGGGAGATAAATTCTCATCTTAAACATTTCCCCTTTTGTATAACTAATTCATTCTTAGGTATAATTCGTGTAATTATTTAGCTAATATCCTTGATTAACTAATTTTCTACAGTCTTATACTTTCTAGGCCTAATTATAAATTTGAGTCAAACAATGTCAGATTGCAAATCTAATAGTATAGTCGTATTCTAAGGGTTGAGTGCAAGATTCTGCCTATTTTGCACTTCCCGGTCACCGGAAACCTCCAACGTCGCCGCTGGCCATGGTGGCCGAACGGCTAGCAGGCCTGAGATCAAACAATAATTTATCGAAAATGAAGAATACTTCCTATAAAGTTCAATTTTGAGATCAATATCTACAAAACATGGCAGTTAATCGCTAAAATCGCAAATTTTATCAACTGTCAAATTTTCGCAATCAAGTATAAACTTATTCCAATGGCCATCTATCACCTACTGAAATGAGTTAAAGCTATGTTTGCTGCACAAATTATATTCTTTGGATTCCAAACTCACCTTGTCAAAATTTTTTTCGCCAATCAAGTATAAAGGGACTCTTATTCCTAATGTGGCCGTTCATTCTATCACTCATTCCCATTACTGAAATGAGTTACATAGCTAATGTTAAATGTTTTGCTGCCCACCCACATTAATTTCTTTGGATTCCAAAGTTCACCCTTGCCTAGGAATACAGGATCGCCGAAAAAAAAAAAACGGTGGGATCGGAAGAGGTCGCCGGATAATCGAAAGCAGGAGTACGTTGATCTTAAAAATGGCAGAATGCAGCCCCAGCAGCGGAGCGTGGCGACTTCTGCCAATCGCTCGGTGCTCGCTAAATCGAGCAGGAGACGTGATCTGGCAGTGGAGCAGAGCTGCGACTTCTGCCATCGCTGTGCTCGCCGGAGAGGAGGAGGAGGCTTGAGCATCTGCAGTGGTGACGCGACGGCGAGGCGAGCTTGGCCGGCTCCAATGGCTGGGACGGGGAAGGAGGAAGGAGGAGGTCGCGCGATCTGGAGAGAAGAAGAAGAAAAGAAGAAGAAAAGAAAAGAAAGAAAGAATGTCGGTTTCTAGACCATTCCGGTTCGATTCGAACCGGTTTGGTCTGGTTCAACGATTTGGCTCGATTCTTGCTCGGTTTGCAGGTTTTTCACTTGGTTTTCAAGCTATTCGTGTGGTTTCCAAAAATCGATTTGATTCCCGGGTTCAATTCTTAGGGGTTTCCAAAAAAGTCGATTTGATTCCCGGGGTTTTTATGTGCAAAATTCATAATTTATATTGCTATATTATTTAGTCTAGTGCTTTTAGATAATATTTTCCTCCATTTTATCAATAAATATAATATAAAAAGAAGAACTAAAAATAAAAATGAAGTCCCAAGTAGTAATGGATATTTGGATTTGGAGATTAATTAATGTGTAGTATAATTGCATAATAGACTGCTATCAAATTGCTGGCTATTTTCAATTAAATTTTCTCTGAACTTTTCAATTGTTTTCTCAAATCGACCAAATTCCGTAGGCAGTATATATTGGGCTTAAGCCCGACCCAACAAACATTTAGGGCTTCGAATAGAATTTAGAGATTGTTTGGTATTATAATATAGCCCATATAGTTTGAAAATCTGAGGATGTTTTTGAGTTTTTAATAAGAAAAAAAATTTTCAAAGAGTTTGGTTCGAAAATTAAAAAATGTTCGGGTCGGTTTATTTACACTAAGTCAATTTTTTTATGAAGAAATTTAGTGTAAATTACTGTATTTTTATCTTTTTTTTTTCTTTACCGTTGATTTAATTAAACATAGCACAATTTCAAGTAAAAAAGTTAAATTTTTTTTAATTGATTTGACATATTTAGTTTGAATTCCATATAATAAAGTGTGAGGTAAGTCTTTTCTAACATAAAATAAAATGTTCTCAAATCGACAAATTCCGGTGATATATTTGGGCTTAAGCCCGACCCACAAACTTGGGCTCGAATAGAGATTGTTTGGTATATATATAGCCCATATAGTTGAAAATCGAGATTTTTAGTTTAATAAAAAAAATTCAAAAGTTTCGAAAATAAAAATTCGGGGTATTACACTAAGTCAATTTATGAAGAAATTTATTAAATTACTTTTATTTTATCTTTTTTTTTTTTTACCGTTGAATAATTAAACATAGCACAATTTCAATAAAAAATTAATTTTTAATTGATTTGACATATTAGTGAATTCATATAATAAAGTGTAGGTAAGTCTTTTCTCCCAATATAATAAAATCCTGCATTACTTATTTGCTTGTGGCCAAATCACCTCTTAAATATTTATGTGATAATTAATAATAAATAGTAGTTAAGTAAAAGATTACAAAAAAATAACTAAAATTTTTCTAACACATATTTTACTTCCATTTGTTTTTAAAGAATAATTCACTTTTTTTTTCCATACAGATTAAGAAATGAAAATTTATTATGATTAAGTAATTATTTTGGTTTAATAAATTCTCTTATAACCATCATATATAATATTTTTGAGCAATTATTATATTAAATAATAAAAATCATATTAATAATGTAAAATAAAAATATAAATTGTAATTAATGAAAGTGACCATATTGATGATTTTTTTAAGGAAATTTTAAAATTTTATCTATTAATGTATTAAATTAACTTGAAAAATAAGATTGACTTGAAAAAAAAAAAGCGAGGAAAATAAGACAAAACTAGATAAGAGCATATAACATAATAGACAATTTAAAGTTAATTATAATATAAAAAAAGTGAATTATATTTTAGAATTGACCAAAAATAAAAAGATAGAACTATCTTTTTTGAAAATTTAACATGACAAAGAAGTCCTGGAATGAAAATTAAACGGAGGAGTTTCCCACTATCAAACTTTAATGGTCAATACGCATCAAAGGTGACTTCTCAATAAAAGATGAAATTAATAAGACAAGATTGACCCGTGATCAAAGAAGACCTTGAATAACATAACATATACTTCGTTTTAGTATATCTAGTTAGGAAAATACTCACCTGCCCTCATATTTATATAATTTTTGAATTTAAATAATTTCTCCAAAAATAAAAATTATGTTCTAGAATAATAAAATAGTATCGCACTAAACGCAACAGAGAAAAAAATATTTTAATAAACAATATTATATATATTAGTCCAGAGCCACGAGTTAACTAAAAACGATCCGGGAAAGGAAAACAGAAGAACAAAGCTCGGCCAGTAAGAAGACTAACTATAATTACTATAGGCGGTCGTGGGGCGCTGCATCTGAGAGCCAAAAAAATCCATCACATGGTAAAGAACCACCGCCACTTCTTACCACTGTTAAGTGGTAAGTGATTGTAAATCAGGCGTTATCTTACTGAATACATATATATATATATATATAAAAAGAAAAAATAAGTTTTTTATTGTTTAATTAAAGATCTTATCTGCTATGGGGGCTCTTTAAAGTCACTGTCACCTAACCCGGTCGTCCAAAAGTGGATATTCTATCCCTTGTTTCGTCGTCTTCCTCATCTCCCATGCGGAGTCAGAGCGCGAATTAACGTGCAGAAACATGTCTTATAATAATAATAATAATAATAATAATAATAATAAATTAACCATTGAAACGGTCACCGAATAGAACATCATACTATTAGCATGTTAAAATAGCCGATCTTATTTATGGTAGTTCTCAATTCATCAACACATAAAACAAAGTCTTAGGAACCCCAAACATTAAGACCCGGAAATCGACTCATGACCCAAACCCTAAACACCAGACCCTAAATTACTAACACACATCATCACATATAAAAGACACCTCCGCCGCCTCAGCAACTTATAAGACTGTAGATCTTAGGTCACTTAAGAAAGTTGACCGCAATCTGCAATCACAACAGGCTTTGAGGTCCTTCCGGAGCTAGACCCGACCTTTTCGATGGCCTTCACAACATCCATACCTTCCACGACCTGACCGAACACGACATGCTTTCCGTCCAGCCACTCGGTCTTCGCAACGCAAATAAAGAACTGAGATCCGTTAGTTCCGGGACCAGCATTAGCCATGGAAAGGATGCCAGGGCCAGTGTGCTTCTTGACGAAGTTCTCATCAGCGAACTTTGCTCCGTAGATCGATTCACCTCCGGTACCATTTCCGGCTGTGAAGTCACCTCCCTGACACATGAATCCGGGGATCACACGGTGGAAGCTGGACCCCTTGTAGTGGAGAGGCTTGCCGCTTTTGCCGATCCCCTTCTCGCCAGTGCAGAGAGCACGGAAGTTCTCGGCGGTGCGAGGAACGACGTCCTGGTAGAGCTCCATCACGATTCTGCCGACTGGCTGGCCGCCAACGGCCATGTCGAAGAACACCTTAGGGTTCGCCATTGAAACAAAGATTGAAAATTAGGGATCGTTGTTTTATGGATAAGAAGAAATGGTTAGAATTTTTGGCCGATACGAGGGTTTATTATATAGGAGGGGGAGGCGGTGACTATCTGAGGAAAGTGAATTGGGACCGTTGGATGAAGACACGTGCAGATATCGTGTAAGGGCAGAATTTAACCATGGTTAGGCTGCTTTTGACCAGGGTAAACTATAAGGATCCGTGGTGGCATATGCTTTTGTGATTGGCTGTGCAGTGCAAGATAGAAACGACGCCGTTTATATTTGTGGCGTAAAGGTCTTACGGCAGATAGAATCGAATAGGATTTTAATCATTACGCATGGCTAAAAATCGTATGAATGTCATGAATCAGCATCATCTTAACCAATGATGCAATTAATCTGCTTAAAGACTGGTTTCTTATTTTTCTTTTCCCATAATTGAACAAATAATTTCAAATAATAATATAATATATAATATATTTTAAATAGCATCACCTTTGTCATCAAATCAACTATTTGTCTATTGGGAAAATGGTTATTATTTTCTTTTCTACATCATAAAACTGAACATGGAGTTACAAAAGAGAAGAAATGATTATTATTTATAAGTTATGTTGTGCCTCTTTCATTTAGTAGTTAAACAACTATTGAAAAATTAACAATTAATGTGATACCTACTATAGTCAAATTAGAATTTATAATGCTTTTTTTTTCAATTTATTGAGAGGTTCAGTATAGAAACACACGTGATAATTTTTATTTAGCTCATTAAATCGTTGAAAACTCATACTCTATAGAGACTAAACTCAAAACTTCTCGATATCCATGTTTGTTTGTAAACCAATCAGACATTAGCCATAATATTGCATTTTAAACATAGTAAAACATTTTAACATCCAAGTCAAGGATGCAGATTACTTCCACGCGAATAACGTGGATCTGGAAAATACAAGATTAAAAAAAAAAAAAAAAAAAAAAAAAACTACATCGTGCATTAATTTTTATATAGCTCGAGTTAAGCATCTCTTGGTTTGAAATAATACTTCATACTCTATTAAGGGACTTAAACTCAAAACTTCTCGATATCTCTCATGTTTGTTTGTAATATCAATCAGGACATTTTAGCCTTATTAATTATTTGCATTTTAATACATAGTAACACACCCATCTTTCCACATCCAAGTCAAGGATGCAGTCCAGGTTACTTCCACGCGAATAACGTGGATCTGGAAAAAATACAATATTAAAAATATAAAATATTATATTAAAACAAAAAAAAAAAAGAAAGGGAGAGGGGAGGGGAGGAAAAAGGCGCTTTAAAAAAAAAAAAAAAAAAAAAAAAAAGAAAGGGAGAGAAAAGGGTTGTGAGAGAATAAGCCAATAAAAAGCAAATTTGATATTTTCTTTACCTTTTAATGATTAAGATTCAAAAGAGTTGGATCAAAAGAATGGTGGGGGTTGAAGATGCTTTTGCTATTGATAGGCTTTCTCAGTGTTAAAACAATTCAAAACCAGTCATTCAGAACCTCAAACTCAGAGCTTGTGTTGCCATTCAGAATAAAACTTTACAGAAATATAACACTGAAAAAATAAAAAATAATAATAAAAAAGAAGCATCCCTAATGCGATATTTAATTGCAGTACACAATCACAAAATCTCAGGTGACTTTTTAAGTTACTAAACAGGATTAAAAATTAATTACTAACTTAATTTTGATAAAAATGAAACAAACGAAATCAAAATTCAACTAAAAGAATGAAATGCCTACATTTTTAACGATATTAGATGCTTAATAGGCTTACAGATTTTCATGATGACTACATTTTTTCACTGCAGGGAAAGGATGACTTGCTAAAAAAAAAAAAAAAAAAAAAAAAATGCTAACCGTAAAAAAAAAAAAAAAAAAAAGGTAACGTTCTACTTTTTGTTTCACGATCTTTAAATGCTCAAAATATATTTGAAAAATGCAAAATGGTTATCATCTTAAAACTGAGTGATTTTTGGATAAATTGAATTTTAAGAGTTTATTGGAATGTAGTAACAAATTCTGTACCTGCAAGTGGAATTATCCCCAAATTGACACACAAAAACAAAACAAATATCCTTCTTTATAACTTTCAACGAATAAAATAGCCAGGGCCCATCCGAGCGCAAGAGAAAATATCAGATCACCGGAGAAAAAGAAACTTGTGTCTTTTCCCCGCATGACAACACTAATGAATACCACCAGATATAGGTTCCCTTTTTTTCTTAGCGGGCATATGCAATATTATATTTGTTAGCAAGGAAAAGCCGCCTCCTTTCAATCACAAAAGGAATGACTGAAAAAGAAGGAAAAGAAAAGAAAGCCAGAAAATTAAAAGTTTTAACCGTAACTGTACGTACCTTTTTTAAGAGTAGAAGAGTATCAGTCATGTATGCCTAGATGATTTTCATTTTCTTTCTATAACCTTTCTGCAGTTTAACTATGACCTATGTCCACTAAATTATTTCACAACAAACCTTCGGTTTGTAATAATCCGGGATACACAAGAGATATTATCTGTTTCAAGGATTTTACTGATGCTTTTGAGAATACATGCCCCTCCATGGCTACAAAAACCAGTAAAATAAGGTAATTATTATATTAAAGTGAATATAAAAAAAAAAAACCATTGACAGTTAACAAGATCAGGATAAATGGCTTACCTATTAACAACAATTTGACTTCCTTCGAGAAATCCTCCACTCGTCCTAATACTGGTCGTATTCCACAGATTTGTAAAACACAAAGTTCTAAATATAATGCCATCTCCATTATCTGAAGCAGTAAGAGGCAGACTGACTGGATTTCAGGATGAATTTGCTTCGACTTGTTTGCATTGCACACTTCAGAAACAATAGCAACAGCTTGATCCTGCAATGCAATTTGTAGAAAAATAGTTAGTTAACAAATATATAAATAATTTGAAGTTGTACAAAAACGTATGAGATTTAAAAAAAAAAAAAAAGAAGATTTCTTTTGTTATGCAATAGAAATGTTTTAGCTCCAGATAAAGTCCCATCAACCAATATAAGATAACCACCCTAAGCTTGAATTGTATCCCAAACATGTGATATGTTGATGCCCCTTTATTCAGGGAAATAGAACCAATAAAAAAGAAAAAAGAAAATGCAAAAGGATTTACCTGCAAACCATGTAATATCTCAGGCATTGGAAGCTCGGGAATATGAGCGAGATCAAAAAATCCCACTTCCTCTGATCTTTTAACAGCAGCCTCAGCTTCCAAACAAAGATATTTCAATAGAAGAAATGCAATTCTATAGATCTGCAAGGCTAGCAAGTCCGAGAAATACGTTGGAGAAACTGGATTAGCAGTTTCAGTTGATTGACCCTTGATTACAAGAGCAGTACTGGTGGCTGAGGCAGTGGGGAGCTTCTGCTTTGAAGCGCAACAAATGGGTGAAAGAGCAAACCACCCATTCCTGCAGTTTAGAAATGCTGGCTTCTTGCAGCTCTCAAATTCCTCTTTGAGGATGGGAGGACATAGAAGAGGGGCAGTTCGGCCAGGAGATTCTCCAAGACGATGCATTCCTCGGCTAATAAAGGCCAACAAATGGATACTTTTCTCTCGCAATGGGGAATCCGTTTCTTTCATGGCCTTAACCCACAAATTCCAATGTTTTGCTATAGTGCACATCAACATAAGAGTATGCTCTGTTTCCTTGAGAGTACTTAGAGAAGTCTGTGTCCTCTGCGCCCGCAGTCTTTTCTTGTCATGACTATCAGTTGGAAAATCAGGTGCATCAAGGTAATAAGAAATCAAGTAAGCTTTCTCCGAAAACAAGTAAGGTATTACATTGTCCATGAGATCAGTACAACTATCCCCCAAAGAATGAATCATAGCTATGACCACAGCCAAGCCAAGACCCCAAATGCATTGAGGCTTTTCATCTTTTTCAGATGACTTTGGGAAGCTGTTGTTGGTGTTGGTGTTCACAGCGGAAGGCCTATCATCCAATAAGTTGCCAAATAATGCCTTTAGAGAAGAGAAAAAACCAGCATTAAGGAGCATTTCAGCACCTCCTCTCACATGCGCCAGAGTCAAAAGGAACTTCAATGTTGTCGGAATGGATGCAAGAGAATTGTCATCTTGAAGCTTCAAAATAACATGTTGCAAACGGAGATGTTTCTGTATGATGGGAAACCAAGTCTTGGGGGTCAAAAGAGTTCTCAGTATTAAGTCAATGGCAGTCAAGGAGAGGCTAGAATGCTCAGCAGTAGTAATGCAGTTACACAAAATAGGCAATAGGCTGAGGCAAACATTTGAAACCTCTGCAAAGCCTTCAGATTTCTTATCTGGAGTAATGCTGGACTCCACAGCAAAGAGAAGCAGCATAAGCAGGACCTTCATTGTCTTTTTAATCCCACTAATCGCAGACCAGAAGTCACTAAGCATTCTAAGGCCAGAACCTGAAGTTTTCAAGACAATTACACAAGCAGATACAGACAAGCTACCCTGGGCTGATCTTACAAGATGGAGAAGTAGTTCTGCTTGTGCTGAAAGGAAATCAAGAATCTCTTCAGAGGCATCAAGAGTGGGAGCCAATGATTCTACAGTGTCATGGAAACATCGGCATATATGGTCAATGCATGAAAAGCAGAGTTGATCAGGGATCTTCCCACAAGTTGTAGCCTCTTTCTCTGGCAACTTCACAAAAGAAGTAAATTTGAAAAATTTTGATAAGGAAAATGCAAAAGGTAGAAATCCAAGAATACAAAAATAGCTGGATCTCAAATATCAAATATAAACAAAGGTATAATCCCAAAAGCCCCCAACTCCCTTCCAGTCCTAACCACCAAAAAGAGAAAAAAAAAAAAAAAAAAAAAAAAAAAAAAAAAAAAAGAAAAAAAAAAAAAAAAAAAAAAAAAAAAAAAAAAAAGGATGAAAAAAAAAAAAAAAAAAAAAAAAAAAAAAAAAAAAAAGATGAAGAAGTAATGGGTCCATTGGTAAAGAATTCCTTCATACAATACTAAAGGCCGGATTACTTGGGCTTAAAGGCCCAGCTTACAGTCGGTATCATGAGTTTAAACCAAAAACATCTATTTTATTTCTTATTGAACACAGTGTTTATTTGCTTTTGTCTGCAACATCATTATTTATAATAAGAAAAAGAATTTAGTAAACTGGAGGCTAATATGTCCTCTGAAAGAAAAGACATATAAGGCAACAGTCAGTCCTGGGCATGACTTCTCTATCTGTTGGAAGATGCTCACTACAAGATATTGCCTGATGTTTTAAGCCAAACAAGAAATAATGTCAAACAGCATTAGTTACAAATAGAGCTTTCTATGAGGTAACCAAATTCTATTATGGAAAAACAGTGATCATGCATCTCAATTTTCCTTAAGCTAGGTGCCTAACTTCGGATAGGATTCTCAAAAAGACTTGATTATGACAATGATATTCCTAATTTTTCTCAAAGGAGTTGATCATACCATTGCACTCAACTATCACAAATTTTGTAACTTCCATAACATCATAAACATATCTATAGAAAAGTTGAACAACCAATTCAGACAAAATTCCTCAAAGTCCTAGATTCTAATTAACCTCAACATATCAGTTTTAATTAACATAAGGTGAAAATTGTTTATCTAATCTACAATTCTCAATAGCTCCATAAGCAAAACTACAATAAAACCATTGATCTTAATATTGCAAAATTTGAAGATGCAACAAAAGCCAGTAAGAAAATTCTTATACTCACATTATCTTCATACAGAGTCAAGACAGTTATCAATGCTTTCAGCGTGGAATGTTTTGAACTCGAAAGCAAAACCATTGAATTCACTTGCTGCATGCAATCCAACATTTTTTCTGCAGTTCCTTTATGTTCTTTCCACTCTGTATAATCCCACATATGTAGTCCCAACTCTGTTTGTATACGAGTGAGGTCATACAAGTAGATGTTTTTGGTATCTGTAAGACATGCATCATTGTATTTTTTTTTATATGTCTCTAAAAATTTTGATTCAACCAGATACAGAGAGAGTTCTTTGAATGGCCCAGGACCAATTTTACGGCCTTCAAACTCCCCCTGTAGATGATAATACAGATCATTGAGAATGAGACTTTTTAGTTCCTTCCCCTCACTGAAATGAAAATAAAAATAATTAGAAAATAAAAATTGAATGCAGTATCAACATTTTGTGGATGTATCTGCAAATGCAAGACAAATAAAAATCAAATGGGCAGCAGCAAATTACACGAGAGGATAGAGTGACATGCATACAATGGACAGCGTTTTCTAGAAAATTACACTAGTGAGGTTGTAATTTGGTTCTTAAGGAATTTCACTTGGGTCATTTTTTCCATAGAAAATTGGTTACTTCTGGTCAGTTCAAAATACCTACACTAATTAACTGATTGCTCAGCTCCATGAACCATATTCAGAGTTACATGGACTCCTCAGTTATGCATGGAACATTTGGCAAAATTTCAAATGGGATATATATGTGTGTGCATTACCTGTAACCCCGTTTTGAATACTGAGCCAACAGTTCAGAAAAGGCAGGCTGACAGATCATCTGTTAGGAGAGGAGAAACAAAAGTGCAATTTGATCTCAAAAACATTGAACGATGAGAAAAGAAAATCCAAAGTAACAGTTACGAAAAATTACAATGAGCTCTTGAAGGGCTTGTAAATAACACACAAGAACGAACTATGTTAGTTATGAAAGAAATATAATACTCCCTCCGTCCCATAATGTTTGTCCATGTTTCCATTTTTAGATGTCCCAAAATGTTTTTCCACTTCACTTAAAAGATATTTACTTTTCTTTTATACCCCTCATTATAAATAGTTTTAAGTTTTAACGATAACCTTTTTTTGTTTTAAAGGAAGACAATTTTGGAAAAGTATGGATATTTTATATGATGGGACACGATAATTAATGTGTTTCTTAAACTTTATGCAAAAGTCAACAGGACAAACACTATGAAACGGAGGGAGTAAGTTCTTGAAGGGCTCATAAAATAACGCACAAGAACAATCTACATTTTTCTGATATAAATTGAATAATAAACTTCAAGTTCATTGTTGAACATTGAATAACGTGGAAATAATAAGTTGGCAAAGTAGAGAAAGGGACATACTTTTTCAAAAGCAATGCGGATCTTCTCCAATAATGATAAAGACAAACTTCCACTGTTGCCAGATTCTAATTTACCAATTGCTTGGACAATGAACAAACTGGCAGCAACCTGCAGATCACAGATGACAAAGTAATTTACATTATCAATAACAGCCATTCATTTGCGTTTCCAGATACAGAGGTTTCTAGATACAAAGTAGACATAGGGGAGTCAAATGAGAGCAGAAACTGTATACAAGTCAAGATGCTTCTATTTATAGCACAAATACGCCTCCAAAAGAAAAAAGATGCCAGGGATTAAAAAAGATTTGAAAAGTTCACCTTTGCACGATAACAAATTCCATCATCATATTCACAATAAGTATATGATTTGATCAGTTTTCCCAAAATGGACATATCAAACCAACTTGAAAAAATGTCTTTCAAATCACAATCACTTGCAGATTTTGATTTTTCAGTGCTCGCTGAAATTTCCGTGCTGTCCTTAGATTGAGGGGCTTCTTTTGAAAGTGACTCAGCGTGTAACAATTTTTTCTTCAGAAACATTTCACATGCCATTATTTCCAATATAGAACATTGACACCGATATTTGTACATCAAGCTTTGAGCCTCCATTTTGGTCAGATTTTCAAGCAGAGAAGTTTTTGAGCTAGTAACTAATGAAATACAGTTGGATAGTTGTTTCCAAAACATTCTAGAGCTTTGTAGATGCTCCAAAATATTTATATAAGGAACAGCCCCTTGCCACAATGCCTTCAGGAAATCAAGTACACTGAGCAGTATCCGCGGATTGCTGGAGAAAAAATAGAAACACCAGAATTGTGAAGTAAAAACATACAACATACAATCATATCAAATACCAACAAACTCAGATGAAAGAAAAATTTTTTAGTGCAAGAGATTTTCTCAAAATCTCATTCATTTTGATTTCTAGTATATGTATATTAAAAACATTTGCTCTCCAAGATTTCAATCTTCTAAGGAAAATGGGGCATCTTTGATTTTTAATGTTAAAGGTCATTTCTACCTTCTTTTTTTTTTTTAAAAAAAAAAAAAAAAAAAAAAAACTTCTAAGGAAAATGGGGCACATCTTTTGATTTTTAATGTTAAAGGTTCATTTCTACCTTCTTTTTTTTTTTATTTTTTTTTTTAAAAAAAAAAAAAAAAAAAAAAATCTTTCCTTTATTTCTCTTGGTCCCTCTATCTTCTCTAATCTTGGGTTTGTTTCTTATCTTTATGATTCAGTTCTTCCTTCCTCTCTTTTGTAGTTTTCTAAATTAAGTTCATCAACCTAATTCCCTACTTTATATCAATTAGCAAACTCACTGAGAAAGAAACCATACATCAAATCCTTTATATACCTTTATATACAAACCTGTTAATAAAATCACCAGCCCTATCTACATATTGCATGAGTGCATCAAGCAAACTTGATTTCTGGGACCCCTGTGGGCCATCCAAAGTTTCACTTGTTGGTTGCTTCATGCCTCCAGCATTCTTTGATTGGACTTCAGGATCCACCTTTGGAGCAAAAATCGAAACAAGAAAAGCAGGCTGCATAAAGAAACCACCCATAAGTAAATAATGATTTTGCAAACCAAAAAGCCAGCATTGAGAAGCAGACTTGTTTTAAGAAAAATATATATATATTTTAAATAAACAAACACTTCACACAGTTGGTGCCAAAACTTGCTTGGAACTCATAAATATCTATGTAAATACACATCATGAGGCTTGAAGATTCCAGCCAAAGACACTGTCCTTCCTTCTTACCAATCTTGTGAATCAAATCTAGTAAACAAATACAAGAATCTATAGTATGTTGGGAACTAGCTGATAACCAGCTAAACCACAAACATGCATCCATCCATACCATTCAAAAAGACAAATAGTAGTTAGGTTACTAGTTCTAAAGAGGGATCTCATCTGTGACATCCTTCCACGTTGGAACATTTTCTAGTCTGCAATGCAGCTGTCTAGACAATATCAATCTCCCTGCTCTAATCTTTCTTCAATGATTGTCACTATAAGTCTTCAACCTTTCTGTGAATCAATTGATTCCTTATTCAATCTGTCCTTGTAATTATCCATATTTATCTTAGCATTGTCATTTCTACACTGGCAATCCTGTACATGTTCTGTTTTTCACCAACCAAGATTCGTTGCCATATACAATAGTTGGGTGAATATAAAACTTGCAAAACTACCATAACAATTGTCCAAAACTTCCCTTCAACATGGTATTTGATCATATAGGACTCATTTTGCACTCTCCACTGAACCCTTCCAACTTTAACAATATCATAGACATCCTCACTACTTTCACCATCCCTTTGTAAAAAGGACTTGAGATAGTAAGTGCCTGCTTTATCAGACCTCTATGCTATTCAAGCTGACCCCATTTTGATCACTTCTCCTTACCTGACTAAAGGTATAACATATACACTTAATTCTAGTTTACTTATCTTGGAACCCTAAGATTTTATTGTGCTCCTTCATAACTAGCACACTTTAGCTCTCCCAAGTAAGATTTTGTATATGGAAATCACCATTTGACAAATCATGCACCAAGGGACATCCCCTTGTTGCAAGAAGATAAGAGGAGAAAAATCAGTCTTTGATGCAATCTAATTGTGATAGGAAAATCTTTACAACACCCTTGCCCCTTCATACAAATCTTTCAGCACCTTACAAAAATTGATATTTCTTCTTCATCTTCTTCTTCTTTTTAAACACAAAACCCACTACAAAATCCTTATAGGGACTTTCTTATAGTTATGTCTTCTTCAGATAGTTAAATACAAAAGGAGAATATTTATTTTCTCTCAATATTTCTGCTCCAACCATCTTATGAGAAAGAAGTCCCATAGTTGTTTTTAAAGATTGCCATGTTATTCTCATCATGCATTCCTTTACTTTCTCTCCAAGTTCTAACACATGACTCATGACTTATTACCTTCATAGTTTGAGCAACTTTGAGTATGTCCTTGGCCTTCCATATGTAATTTGCAAAAATATAATTATGTTGGCACTGGTAATCTAGTTAAGGTCCTATATATCTCTCATAGTTACATATAGGAGACAACACAGTAAATGAGGCTCAATATTTAGAGAATCTTTAGCTTCAGTGTGAGAATACTAGTTTAAATCCTGCAATAAACCACATGATAGGAAATAACTAATGTATCTACAGCATCTTGTAAACCTGATGGCGTGCTGCAGAAGTAAGCATATTGACTATAGCAACAAATAGACTTTCATTCCACTCTAACCGCTTAGATAATGCACTGTCCACAGAATGCCTTAGATCTGCAATCTAAAATAAGGTAGTGATCAAGATTCAGATTAGGCACAACCATAATAATAAAATATGAGATAAAAAAGGAAAAGAAACAAATACAAAAAGACAAACCTGCTTATCATCCAGACCAAAACACACATTGCTAGACAAATATGGCTTAAAATAATCTGCCATAATCATCAAAGTTGATAAAACCTTGGTGGCCTCAACCTGTATTGCCTGCACAGTATAATGTGAAAGGTGCTGTTTGATAAGTGGTCAACACAAAATGGAACATAAATATAATTACAAATAAAACATATCACATTATGTATTAATAGAACATTATAAAAGATTCAAACAACATAATGTCCAACTTCCAGCAACTAGGAACGTTAGCTTTCATCCAACATGTTTAGGTCCCTAAAACAACCACACTACTTTTGGATTCCTTCAATTGTCTTCTAGAGCAGATAGAAGGTATAATTTTTAGATTTCTTTGGAAATTCTCTAGTAAATCCTGCTATTCTCACAGCATTAGTCTTTTTAAACTGCCACTAGAGGTCAGGGCTTTTGTTTAGTCTGAAAGTCTCCAAAAGGTAAAATACTAATGGCCTTCTGCAGAATATAAGGCTATTATCTATCTCATATTCTAGATCTCTTGAAAGAAATAGGTATGTTGGGATGTAAGCCAGTTGACTCTCCTATTGAGGTCAATCACAAATTGCAAGCCGGAGTTGGCAAAACAATTGATCTGGGTCAATATCAGAGGTTGGTTAGCAGACTGATTTATCTGTGACATACTAGACTTGACATTACATATGCTATGAGTCTAGTCAACTAGTATATGCATTACCCTCGAGACTCTCATCTTGAAGTAGTTATTCGTATTTTTGAGATATCTAAGGTCTGCCCCTGGAAGGGGCATACTTTTTAAGGCATAGCTATCTCAAAACTGAGGCCTATCCTGATGCAGACTAGGCTAGATCTTCATATGACCGAAGATCAACTTCAGGATACTGTACCTTTACTGTAGGAAATTTGGTTACTTGGAGAAGTGAAAAGCAAAGTGCAATAGCTCGATCAAGTGCAGAAGCTCAGTACGGAGCCATAGCCATAGGAACTTCTGAATTATTATGGCTTAAGAAGTTAATGGAAGAGTTGAAGCTTTTAGAGTCTGAAGCTTCAACCTTGTTCTGTGATACATAGCTACAATTAGCATTACTCAAAATCCGGTTTAGCATGATAAAACAAAGCACATAGAGATTGATAGACACTTGATTAAAGAGAAAATCATCCAGGGTGTGTTGAAGCTCAATTATGTAACTTCCGATAATCAACCGGCAGATGTCTTCACTAAAGGGCTAAGTAGAAAATTTTTTCACAATTTAGTGTGAAAGTTGGGCATGTGTAATATCTATGCACTAGCTCGAGGGGAAGTGTTGTCTTGTATGTTTGTATATGTTTAGTAACTTAATTCTTTATTGTAAAGGGTAGGTTAGATATTTCCACATAGCCTTAGTCCTATGCATAAATAGGGTTGTAACAATTTTTAACATAAGATCGAATGAAAATTTCCTTCACACAACAAAGAATTATGCAACATTGTCTAGCTATAAAGTAACATGATTAAAATATTCAAAATATGATCATGACCTCCAATATCTAAATCTATAATTGCAACCCTCGGCCATGAGAATAAAAAACAAGCATGCAAGCTGTATATTACTGTTCATGAATAAAGATTGGCCTAACATACGAAAGGCATTTTCTACGATACAAAATTCAAAAATTCTGCACCCATACAGAATTCTCTTTTGTGTCATTTGTCAATGTTAACCTAATACTGCAAGTAACCAAGACTTGTTAAATTCATTTATATGTTTTTTTTTTTTTATCAAATTTTTTTATTTTTTTCTCTCATAAATTTCCCTTGTTCTTTTTTTCTATAAAATGTGAAGAACTTTATTTTGAAGATAAAAATAAATCATTACATATCAATAATTTTAAATGAGATACTAATCGCATTATTTTACGTACAAAAAAATTATTAACAAATTGGTCTTAATGTAAATATAGAATTCTAGAAAAAACCTTTAAGCATAACAAATAATAATTTTAGATAATAATTTTTATAAAAAATTACAAATGATTTTAATACCTTACTAAAATTTTTAAAAATTTAAAATTTTGTATTAATTCTGATATAATATATAATGTGTCATTTTAAAAAAATATAAATAAATTTAAGGTAAAAACTATAATTATTTAGAAGTCACAAGATATTATTTATATGGTTGAATTTATACAATTAGAGTTTACAAATTGAGAGATTTTATAAGTCAAATATTTAAGTATATGGTGAATTTTTATACAAATTAGAGTTACAAATGAGAGATTTTATAAGTCAAATATTTAATGTTATGTGATTATTTAATATTTATTATAACTACTATTAAGAAGGAGATATTAATGGTATTTCACTGAGTGTATATATAATTTATCAGATTCATTGCGCAAAATACTATGTATAAAATGTTGTTTATTATAGTATAAATAAATAGAAGTCACAAGATATTATTTATATGGTTGAATTTATACAATTAGAGTTTACAAATTGAGAGATTTTATAAGTCAAATATTTAAGTTATATAATTTAATTTTATTAATTAAAAACTATTCTATTAAGAAGATAATGGGATTTCATGTATATATAATATAATTTCAATTGCGCAAATACATGATAAATGTTTTAATAATAATATAAATAAAAATATTATTTATTAAAAATTTTAAAAATTTATTTTGGCAAATAAAATTTGATATATTAGATAATTATTTTATCTTTAAAACTTTTATTTTTTATAATTGTGTTGAAAAGAGTAATTTTTTATTTGCACAATTAAAAAGTAACATTTATATTTAATAATGAAAATAAATATTTTGTTTTTGATAACCTATTATAAAGGTAATAAGTTATTAGAGCCATTTTGAATCTAATGATTTATATTTAACTACTTTAAATCTAATGGTAAAAACATTTTCTGCATTGATACAGAATTTTTAAAATCTGTATGGTAGTTTTACCCATACAAAAATAACCCAATTTTTCAACTTGTGATAAAATCAATCTAAAATGACATTTACTTCCTGAGCATTCCATTTTGAAACTTAGATATATTAGCACGACAGAATGAGATTAAAGTTATGGTTTTTAAGAAAAGAAAAATATTTATATGGGCCCCACACCTAAACCTTGAGTTAACCCAAGATGCAATGCACATTGTTTCTTGTTGCTTTATCCTTCCCTATATGAAGCTCTTTATCATTTCTGCTACTCAAACTCTTCATTATAGCTCAAACTCTTCACTCCATGTACAGACCATCACCACTATCAAACAAAAGCAACATCGCCACCATCACAGAAAAGCAACACCGCCAACAACTTATAACAAAATAATTCTTATAACAAAGCAAACAACAACAAACAAACAGAGAAGAGAGTATTTATAAATCGATTCTTATCGAATCATGTACTTCAAACTCTTCTTTGCCATGGATTAATTGGCATAAATAGTTTTTCTGCCTCTACTTCTCATACAAATTAATCATCTCTCTCTCAATCCCCATCCATCCCTCTCCTACGACATGAATCTAGATCCAAGTTAGCATGAGCACAACCTCATTGACCATCTATTAGACAGAACAACTAGTGGTTCTCTCAAATTGGATCAATTTGCTCTGATATACTTAGCTAATTGACAAGGACACTCATCATCGAAAGGTTTCTAGTGCAAAATTGGGGTATTGTACTGATCTAGGGTGGTGATTAAGGTTAAAATTATTAATGTTAGGTTTATAGAGAAATTGGGGATTTTGGGGATTGAAAAGTTGAGAAGAAGGAAAGGATGGAACGACGGTGGTAGTGGTGTTGGTGGTGGTGGTTGAGGTAGTTCTTGAGGTTGTTCAAGTCCCAGCTTGGGCTCCATTTCCACCACCTCCTCCTCTGCAAGCAGTGGTGAAAAACATAAAAGCTAGTTAACCCATCTCCACAACTATAGATATTTAATTTATGCAAATTGTAGAAACCTGACCCAAATCAGTGAGTTAGAGATAGAGGAGAGAGAAGCAATGCTGAGATAGAGAAGAGAGCAAACTGATCCAGCATTGCTTTCTCCTCTATCAGGATCGATTTCCTCTCTTCTCTAATTGAGAGCAGATATCGAGCACAGCTCCTTTTGTTTTGAACTGTGGAGAAGAGATATAGGAGACTATGGTGTATTTTGCACTTTTTGAGGTCCTTGGGTTAGCTTAATAAAGGAGGTCAAGTCCAGATTGTTATTAAAAACTCTAACCCTAATCTCATTCTAGGTGCCAGTATGTCTAAGTTTCAAAGTAAGGTTATCTTAGAGTGATTCTGCAACAAGTCAAAAAAATGGGGGTATTTTTGTATGTTAAATAAAGATTCAATGATGAATTTTCAGAATGACATATGAGCCATAAAAAGAAAACCATACTAAAGGCATTGCTAATCATGCGTGGTATGGAACGTTGATGCAATCAGTAAGAAAGAAAATATCATTAAGGATGATAGTTGCATACAGAATTGCGAGAATAAGACATCAAAGATATAACAGCTGCAACAACTGGACTCAGTTTTGTTGAAGATGACAGCACTGCTTGCTGAAAGACAGGAAGACCATCTGAGATATCCTGGAATGATAAAACAAAACATAATATAGATTGGATTTCAAATTTAGTAATAAGAGGGGCTTTTAGCACAAATTTATTTCATGTGAACATAGACATTCCAACCAAATACATGCAATGATAAATGATAGAACAATAAGAAAGCAACTGATCGGGCAAGATGATGTCCAGGAAATGTAACCAATATTTCCACAGCTGATTAAATAGGTCCATCTAGTTTTTTCAACTTTAGAGTAGGTACTAAAGGATTTAAAGGCCTTAAAGTTGCGACTCAAAAGTCATGAGGTTGTAATTAATGAAGACATCAAATGCTAAATATACCTCAGAAAATTTGGAAAGCATAATGTATAGAATATCCAAAGCAGAACTAATAGCAAGCTGAAGTCCTTCTATCTCCGCCAGTTCAATGAGACGGCTGACATAAAGGTTCTGTGAAAAAATATGCTTTAAAAAGTAAGCAAAATAAAACAGCTAACAATCACTAACTAGGAAGATAACATAGAAAAGGAAAAAGTCATCCTGACCTCTAAGGTTTGTTTAGTTGTACAAATGACTCGAAAGATTACACCGTGGATAGAAGAATCAGAGAGTAACATATCACGGATAGCAAAACCTAATTTTTCAGAAAATGAGATTGACATCATGCAAGTTTTCATCACCTCCAACACCTAAAACAGTAAAGCCATTATTAGAGATCCATTTTTCAAGCATAAGAAATTAATATGTAAATAGGAATATTTTAAATTCTAGTAGTAATTTCTACCAACCAAAGAAAAAAAAAAACTTCTCTAATTTATTGTTAGGAATACTATTTTCCATGTCCACAACACCTAAGGTATAGGTTAAATTTGACAATCAGGTCAGCTAAGAGGAATGGTTCACAAGCTAGGATAATAATCATAAAACAGGTGGCACTACTACCATGCATAGTCATGGAACTTCACCTCACCCCTGCAGCTCTATCCCCCTCTCATCTATAAGCTACTTCATCCAAAAATAAGACTAGCAAAATGGCCATTGAACAGTGGTTAATGCAAAAGTCTCAGGCTGCTGAGCAAGAGCACTAGCTTTTACTTTGACAGAAGCCACTTGTGCAGAAATTTACAAATATTAGGAGCATGACCAGATAAAGCCCCTAAAAAAATCCAGTAGTTGTCATCCTATAAGCCTGTCCAAGGAGCAGATTCACTTAGCAACTTACCCCACTGAACTTGCAAATTTATTTTAGCATAGCTTGTAAAATCTGTAGTAAATATAAGATTAGAACAAGGTGCCCCACTCAAAAATTTTTGGACCCCACTCGAATAAATTTTTAATTATGAATATGCCATAAATTCCCAGGTTTTTTCACAGAAGTTACTTATCCTTTTAATCTTTTCAACTATAAAATAAGTTATTCTTCAAATTATAAATGCTGAAAAATCTTTCAAAAATCTAAATTTGTTAAATGTTACATATTTTAAAATAAAATATTTGTTTTTGGTACACTAAAATTGAAATCAGTTATAATGCAGGATATAGCTCTCCAATCGTAAAATCTCCTAAGCCCTATCCCAAGCTTTAATCATTAAGATGTCTCCTTGGAGATAGAGAAGACGTGCAATAATTTCTTCCATAAACAATTATTACATGATCATAACCATAGTTCATTCATAATTGAATAAGTTTTACAGAAGTAAATTTATATTACTTGATCTTTAAGCCTAACCCTAAAAGACAAACATTATATAGAAAGCACAAGAAAAAAAGAAAGGAAGAAATACTCAATAAAAAAATAAGTTTATATATTTTTCAAAAAAATAACAATTACATCAGCAACTTGATACTAAAGTTTGTTTATCACACAATGCGAATCTTAAAATTTAAAACCTTAACTTTCAATGCGGCGGGATCGATAGGAGGCAAATGCTCCCAATACAGGCCTAGCAGGTTTGATAAAGCATCTTTCTCCTGGGTGAGTTGGTGGCAACAAAAAATTTTTGGTTTTAACCCTACGACATAGAAGGAAGATGAAAGGGCTATATAGAACTAGTCTAAATTTAAAACGAATCAGCCGACCTAGTCTACGAATCTATCCTAACTATCAAAAAATTTCTGGAATTTTGCGGGATGGGTATTGTAGTTCTTTCTACTTCTCGGGCTATAATGACAGACCGAGAAGCTCGACTAGAAAAAAATCTCTGGCTACGAATCTATCCTAACTATCAAAAAATTTCTGGAATTTTGCGGGATGGGTATTGTAGTTCTTTCTACTTCTCGGGCTATAATGACAGACCGAGAAGCTCGACTAGAAAGAATCGGTGGAGAAATCTTGTGTTATATATGGTAATCTTTCTGATATCTGAATTGTATCCAGACTTCCGCTCATCTCTTGAATTGGATGGAAACAAAAAAGGTGTCTTTAAATAAGAGGTAAAGAATTAGTATCATGATTCAACCACTAAACAAAATTCCTGGCTCCACCATTGAGCCTGTCAACTAGAAGTAAAGCAAATATCAGAGAAAAGAAAGAGTTTAGGAAAAGAATACCTTCAATGTTACTTTCCATCTAACATGCTTCACCTTGTATTTCCAGTACTCATGATTAATTAGAATATACTGCAGAGAGAAAACAACTAAAGCTAGAACAAACTCATTTTCTACTCTTGTCTCGAGAAGCTGCATGGTAAACTCCAGGACTGCATATAATAATGCAAGTCAGAATAAAAAGCTCTGTGCTACATTATTAGAACAAGCCTCAATGTAAAGATAGCAAATAATTCCCCATTTATATAAACTAAATCAGAGGAAACTACTAAGATGGTGCTCACATGATAAGATGGCAAACAATGGCGTCATAGACATGCCTGATTGACAAAAACGAGTCATGCAGATAAATATGGCTAAAAATCAAATGAGTGTTTAGAAATCATATGAATGTAAAGCAGTAATAATGTCATTTTGAAAACACAATTGTGCAACTGCACACTGAAAGAGAGATGTGAATTCAAGTGCCATTATCTATTGCACCTTCACCATTGGCACCACACTGTATTTCTTATCTTGTATGCTTGTGATTGTGTCATCTTGTAATCAACTAAAGATGAGCAATGAAAGAAAAAACAAGTTCCAGGGAAAGAAGGGAGATATTTGCACCCATTTCAGAAGTAGAAAAGTTTCTCTTCATATTTTCCATGTAAATAGCCACAATAGACAACAAAATTACATTTATTTTATGCTTAGTGCTGTTGTACTTAAAGTCTCATGTGTTGCATGGAACCAATAGATTGATATACTAAATAAAACATAAAGGTTGAAAATCGCATAATATTTTATTAAGACTCACACTCAAAAGTTCTGAGGCGAGGATTACATTCAAAATAAAATCCAAGATAATTTTACAAAAACCATAAGTCCTTCAGCCACAAAAGCAATCAAACTCCAAGCATATTCAACCCAGTCACTATCATTCCCCATTTACTATTATGAAAACGGTAGAAAGACACAGATATTCACATAAACATATATAAAAAAGATAATGCAAGTCATAATCCACAAAGTAAGAACATGCATCCAATATATTAGTCCATAAACACATTAGTTGAATACACAAACATATAGAAGGTAAAGAACATAAAAAGCAGAACAAAAAAACAAAAGATGCAAACAACTGTATTCAGACACTTTAATAGAGGTCAAAACCAAATATATACCTGATATTATTAAGGGATTCTCGTATTCATTCTGCTCAGCATCTAGTAAGAGCATTTTTGCTAGCTGTCCAGAAAGCAACCATGATCCACTGGAACAAACGAAGAGCTATAAAGTTAGATATTAAATTCAAAGTCAAAGCAAATGATGGCAACCCTGATAGCTGAATAAATGTAGTTCATTATTTCACAGAAGCTGGCCCCTCCTAGAAAAAAGACCAAACAAATGAGAAGAGTAACAAAAGATCATTAGAAGCCAAACCCACCTAATATACAGTTTTTGACCCCAGCAACAAAATAATAATAATAATGATAATGATAAAGGAACAAATATGGCTAAGAAATTTCATCTCTGGTCTGGCACAGAGCATGATTCAATTAACTGTGGTTACATTATCAAATGGTGGTTGTTTAGTGAATTTTGAATGTCCAGTTTCAATTATGCCTTACACTTTTTTGCCTTCTTTTGGATGCCTTTTCCAGCTTTTGCTTCCCAGAATCTTTCATTATCCAACCACCATTTTCTCATGCCTTCTTTATAATCCTCAAAATTGTCGCTATATGGAAAGCTTAGGTAAGCCAATTTTGACTTTATTGCTGCTGTTTTTGCAAATTTGTGGCAACACATTTGGTTTATGCTATGTTTAGGACTCTTTTTGGGGGTGACAAGGTTAGATCTTCTATATTCATGTAGTTTTGTGCTAGTCACACAAAATTGAAAAAACTGCCACAACAAACCATGGTCATGACTACAATTAAAATCTTTGTTTGAGAATGAACCCAAGAAGTGGAAGTCACAGAAAATTGAAAATACTGGTCCCCATGAAAAAAAAAATCTTCCAATAGGAACAATGAAATGTAGATAATAACACAAAAATGATCGAGTAGATTGCATGATACAAAAGAAGTCAGGCACAATTATCAATATTAACATCTGATCCTCGTTCGACAACTAAATTTAGAAGCTGCATTCTAGATAAACATAAGAAAAAGCACCTGCACATTGCTGCATATATTGTTTTTCATAATCAAAAGTATCATTAAAATATCAATGAGTTTTAGCTTAATGCTAGTGCAGTCATTTACAAACTATGAAGTGATGAATTACTAAATTCAGTAAAAAATAAAATCCAACTAGTCTAAAAACAAATAAAATGGCAGTTTTAGCTAGATTGTGATAGTCTACTTGGGACCTTTTGTTATGGTTCCTATTTTATTTTAGTTTTCCAATGGCACTATTAGGTGCATGCTAATTAATAATTGAATATAAATTATTTGACATAGCATATGTGAGAATATCTTTCAAACAGTTTGTTATGGTTGTGGATGTTCAGCAAATGGTATGAACCAGAAGAGAGTGGGGCTCAGGATTACACATGGGGATGGTGACTACCGGCTAAGGAATGGGGTTAGTTTGTATGAAATGCTCCGTTCTACTTTACCCATTCCTTGGGTGAGACTAAACAGCAGTTGGACCCTCATATTTTATTTTTTATTCTACATATTTGTCCTAATCTAATTTGAGGAACTATTGTACAAAAAAGCTAAAACTGGGGTGCCTGATAGTTTAAGGTCATTTTAGAGTGTTATTGTTACAACCTGCAAAGTTCGGGGTTTTTCTAATAGTTTAGCTTATTATTAAATGATCTAACAATTAAATAAAAGAAAATTTTGGGGCCCTAAGAGGAACTATGTATTATTCAAAAAAAGAAAAAAAAAACAGCAAAAAGACAGAATTTCCTTGTAAAAGCAAAAACAAAATAAGTTAAAATAAAGGGTGGAAGTGCTTATAATACCAAGTCAAGAACCACATATTATATAAATTCAAACTATTTTGTTTATGATCCATGTCAAAGAGCCCATGTTGACCCATCCCTTGGCATTTTATAAGAACAAGGCCATACAGTTGGGTTTTAGCATATACCAGTATGACAATTCCACATCATGCAAATCTAATTGAATTTTGTAATCATTCATAAAAATATACTATATAAGAAAATATTTTTTAAGACAAAAGATAATATCTTTAAATATTACAATATATAATGTTTAAAGAAATTTAATAAATAAATTACACAAGTGTCAAAAATAGAGATTTTGCATGCAAATACCTTTTCGATTGCAAATGTTTACAATACCTTTCATTTTTCATTAAAGAGTGTCAATTAGATTTTAGCATGGTTCTAAAAGACTCAAAATTGAGGCATGTAAACTAAGAGATCTTAAGAGTTTCTGTTATTATTAGGCCATTATTCCAACTTTATTGAGTTGTTTGTTAGTTTATTTAGTTAGTTGTTTCATCAAACATATATTCATACTGTGAAATTGTGAATTACATTTGACTTTGATGTATATCATATATTCTACTTTTGAACAAAAAAAAAAATCATTAAACTTTTCTAATAGCTCATGAATCAAATAATTTCATATTAGTTTAATTTACTTCTTGCACTTAAATTTTAGATTTTTATAATTTACTTAAAAATAAAAATAACATTTCATTATTAGATTAATAATAGTTACCTTTGCCAAAGAACACAATGTTTTTTTTTATAATTATATAATAAATTATATATTATATGGTTTGTCAATATTTATTACCAATTAAAAAATTAAAAAACATTTCCTCGTTACATCGTGCAAAGATGCTTAAAATGAAATGGATAATTGCACGGGTATATACACTAAATGGCCACATGAATTTAGGATGTTAGGTGGCAGTTTTTTCTTACTGCCATGTTCTTAGCTTTTGATATATATATATATATAAATTTTCACCCATTGTACCACTTATCCCCTTGCCATCAAAGACTAAAAAATATTTCACTCATTTGTATTCTAGGGTCAAAACAGATAAAAATGTTATCCTCTCAGCACTGTTTGAGACTGGTCCAAGAACAGTGGCAAGAGATGCATATAGTATATAATAGAATAATGACGTTCACTATCTTAGTAAAGATATTATTATTACTGCATATAGAATTCATAATTTGATCCTAGTTCTTACCTTGATAAGCCATCATAGCCAACATAAAAAATGCTTGTTTTTGAGGTCATCTCAAATATATTTGTTTTCAGAGCGACAGCAGCAACATGAGATGGAGCACTGCCCAACAAAGGAAAAAAGTTTACATTTAGACTGGTTCTACCTACAACCCTGGCTTACAAACAAAATATAGTTGAGAGAAGAATAAATTTAATATTTTAAAGAAAAGCTAGTGCAGCAAGACATTCTTAAAAGAATGAAAGAACCAAGAGGATATCTGATAGCAAAAATTGAGAAAATCATAGAATTAATTTTACGAACAAATCAGTACAAACAAGGCATGAATGAATACAGAATCACACAACAGAACCAACTATTGAATTACCATTTCAACATCCTCGCTAAAATACTGACACCCATAGACAGCACTGCAGCAGCACCAGGACTAGGAGACAGATTTTTAATAACAGCACAAATAATTTCAACCACCCTGCAGCAAATATAACAGGAAAAATAGACAAAAAAAGGAGGAAAAGAAAGTCAACAGGAGCTAAAGCCCATAAAGATTGAATCATAAATGAGATCAGAAAGAAGAAACGCAAATATTTAGTTAATTGTTAATTACCACAAATTCCTGTCAGTCTGCCCCTTGATTTCAGCTGCTTGATAGTTAAATGAGCTGCCAATTTCCATCAATGAAAAAGCTACACCCTGAAAATTTACATATTATAAGAATATTTGCTACAAAACAATAAGCTCGAGACCTAGTCCTCCCAACTAGATACCATAGTATTGTTCTTAAACTTTTACTGGTTAACTAGACTCATCTACCAATCACAAGAAACCTTTCAACAAGAAGATTAAATTACCGTGTTAAAAGATACCATTCGACTAAGTAGGTCAAGAGAAAGAAAAACTTCCTCGTTGCTCTCCAAATACAGCTCTTGGGCCAAACGCAAAAGTAGGACAAGCATCCCAGATTGTGAATACTACAACAAAAGAAAATGCATCTATTGGCAAGGAACAGGCAGGTAATAGAAAATTGCATTGTCAAAGTACAAATAAATATCGCATTGTTCTCAGATCGAATGAATAGGCATAGCTTTATGTTTTCTGGAGTATCCTACTCAAGCAAAACAACAGAAATTGCATTGAAAGATTTTAAGTAGATTTTCAAATTTGCTTTGTTCAGATAATGCATAGTTTTATTTAGAATTGTGTGTAATATACTTACAATAATCATAAAACATCACTTGTTTTATCATACATTACTGAAGAAAAGGACAAGTCCTGCAAAGTAATTAAAATTCAAAAATAAATATTATATTTTTTTGAATTAAGTTGTATATAATTCTTTTAAAGCTTAATTCTATAGACCGTCAGTACATGAAAAAGCTGAGTTTAGCTTAGCTAGTTTAATAAATGAGACAAGCTCGAGCCTAAAATTCAAAGCCTGTTTCATAAACTAGCTAAGCTTGAGTTTGTCAAAGCTTTGCTCAATTAAGAACTACGTGATGAGGCCATTGAACGGCTGGAAAAAGCCTGGGCCCGCTAACGGAAGCAGATCAGTTTCAAATGAATGGATATACTCTGAGATAAAACAAGAAAAATCAAATTTGATTACTCATTTGTAACCCTATTATAGAGTGGTCATTGGGAGGTTATTGGATATGGTTCTACCATTTACAACTCCACCAAATCAGAATGTGAATCAAGTGCATTTGGAAAGAGGAAAAGTGGGTAATATAAGACTGCAATGTCATTTTGCATTAATATTTATGAACATTAGAAAACTTGAGATGTTCTTCACTTACAAAAAGATTCAGCATGATGCTCTGCATTAATAAGGCTAGAGATTATAACAGCCAGGAGCATCATTAGCAAATGCCTTTATATACTAAAAAGAGATAATGAAAATTTTACATGAAAGCAGGAAGAGGAAACAGATTTTATTACGCTAACACCACAAGCATCTTCTTTATTTTTCTTTCATGTCTTCAATCAACAATAATAATAATGCCCAAAATGAAACTGATTTTATTGCAAAGTAAACAGATTGGGCACCAACATGATAAGCAAATATTAGTAAGCTTTCAGAAAGTTTTGTGGCTTTACCTCCCAGCGTACAATAGCAGTATTACCACCAATAATTTTCAACACATGTCCACGAGTTTTAGCGGGAATTAGCAAACCTTCCACTCCAGGAACATGCAATGGCAGGCGAGTTTCAACAATTTGTGAGATGCTGTCCACCAGGGATTCACTAGTAATTTCAAATAACGAAGATATACCCACAGATTTATCAAGAAAGTTATATCTGTGTACAAGATGAAGATGAATAGTATCAGTAATCAATATTAGAATAGCAACCTATCAACAGAGCAGAGATCTAAATTAGAAATCAAAGAGCATATTTTGGGTGTTTCCAGGGAATACTCAAGAAAGAAACTTGTATTTTCATGAACATAAAATTTTCTGCACTCGAGGGTTTACATGACACCTGAAATCTACTCAAGAACTGTATTTCCGATATTCAACTGCCAAATAAAAGTATTCTTTATGAACAATATGGAGGAAATGTACAGTGCACCATAGCTTCCAGATTTATTTGCAACAAAAATACAAAGTTTAAGCAATGATGACACTAAATTCATCAGCTCATACAGCGAATAATAGTTAAATGACAAGAAATGAGTGAAGAAGTCTTCCACGTCGAAAAATAATAGGTACAAAAAGAAACTAGATTCAACTGACATCCTTGAAATCCAAAGTCCTGCAATACCCAACTATTACTCCATGGTAACGGAGAAATACTTTATTTGCTTATCCCATTTTTGTGATGAAGAATAGGCAGTCCGGAAGATTCAAATTCAAAGACTTAACCTTAGAATTATGGTCTATATTTAATATAGGCTCCATGGAATACTTCCTAGTTATTTTAGAGTCTACTTTATGCGAATATTTTAACAAATAAGCTGCCAGTCTTTAGTTTAAGAGTGAAGGGCAATTTTGTATTTCCAGCTTTCTTTAGGAGCCTTTCTTGTTTATTTCAGGTCTTATTTAGGATCCCTATGGGTTTAGAATAAAAATATTTCTTTTAGTTTATTTTGGGAGTCCAAATCCTTATAGGATGCGGACTCGTTTTAATTTCCTTTTCTGGAAGGCTAGGGAAATTTTATAAAATCCTTTTCTTTAAGGACTAGTATTAAGTTGAAGTCTATAAATACCTATGGCTGTAATGTTTTCAATAAAGTTTTGACATTCAATAAAATTACTACCTTTTATGCTACTTGAGTTTTGTGATGCAATTCAACCATGGATGTGAAGCTTATGGAATCTTGGTTGCGATACCTAAGAAGTTCAGGAGTGAAGCCCAAAGACTTATCCTTATATTATATCTAATATTCACAGCCCCCTACTTCCTCCATAAACCTCCTTTCGCTTAGCTTCTTTAACCAATTCACATGCAAACCATTATTATTTCCCTTACATATTTTCCCACTCTAGCCTTTAATAAATCCCAAAATTAACCAAAATAACAAATCTAGCCAGCCCCCCCACACTTTCCTATGTCATTTTGTAATATGGAACTAGTAATCAATTCCCAATCCAGGGACATGCGTTTTCTGGTAAAACAAAAAGCTTTAAATCTTAGGACACTTGCACAAGGACTAAAGAGTTTGATATGATCAGGGAAAGTGTCTTTTATGTCCAAAGGCTTCCTCAATGTTCATGTCTAAATAATCAACCTGAAGAATCAGGAGTAAGAATCACGTGCACGAAGTATTCAGTTACTACTCATCAAAGGTAATTCAGGGACCCCATTGGACACTGCCAGCTTAAGGTACAGAAAGATCTCTTTTTTCCCTCCCTCACTTCCAGAGTTCCAGTCATTCTCTTTCACGTCTCTCTGACAAAACATAACTCCATTCAACTACACCTTAATTCCAAGTCAGTTGGAGTCAACTGTATGGATATGTTTTTTGCCATCAACCTGGTTTAGAGAAAACAAATCAATTCTGTGACAATGAACGCTCATCACATCGACTTCCAACACCTCACAATGTCAATATCATGTAAAAGCCGGAAACATTCTTGGATACCCGCTCATTTTTCTACCTTAATTCATCACTACCCTTCTCCAAAAGGTCCATCTCTACTGCAAACATCCAAACATTTACCAAGTAAATTGAAGGCTAAATTAAACATGCCTTCTTCTGTGCTTAATGGTGCAATTCCTTATAGTGTCTTGTTTCCTTCTAACCTTCTATTCCCTATTGAATCTCGTATTTTTGGTTATACTTGTTTGTTCGTGATGTTCGTCCACAGGTTTCCAAATTGGATCCAAAGTCCCTTCGTTGTGTTTTCCTTGGGTATTCTTGGCATCAAAAGGGCTATCGTTATTTCTCTCCTGATCTTGACCATTATCTTATTTCTGTAGATGTCACATTTTTTGAGACTACTCCATTTTTTCATTCTCCTATATATAAGAGTGAGGGGGAAGATGATGAGCTTTTAGTCTACGCTATCCAGCAATTTCCTAGCTCTCCTGCTCCTACTCCTATTCCTAAACTTGCAACTACTCCTGCTACAGTGCCTGCTGCTCCTATTCCCCCTCCTGCACCAGCATCTGCCTACCCCCGTTTTGAACAGGTTTATTCTAGGAGACTAGGAACTCTAGACTCACTTCCCCCACCTGCCGCTTCAATAGAAGATCCGGTTCTCTCCACTCAACCTGAGCATGTGCCATCCACTCCTCAGTCAGACCTTGACCTTCCTATTGCTCTTCGAAAAGGTAAACGCAAGTGTACCTATCCTATTTCCTCATTTGTTAGTTATGATCATCTTTCTTCTTCATCCATTCCACTCACCTGAGCATGTGCCATCACTCCTCAGTCAGACCTTGTTTTACCTTCCTATTGTCTTCGAAAAAGGTAAACGCAAAGTGTACCTATCCTTTTCCTCATTTGTTTTAGTTATTGATCATCTTTCTCTTTCTTCTTCATCTCGTCATTTTGTAAGTAACCTAGACTCTGTCTCTACCCCTAAAACTATTGTCCAAGCTTTGTCCCATCCTAGTTGGTGTGCAGCAATGAAAAAGGAGATGGCTGCCTTAGATACTAATGGTACTTAGGATCTTGTGCCTCTCCCGACAGGTAAGAAAGCTATTGGTTGTAAATGGGTTTTCACATTTAAAATGAATCCTGATGGGTCTATTGCTCCTCTCAAGACTCGATTAGTTGCTAAGGGCTATTCTCAGATTTATAGCCTTGATTACTCTGATACTTTTTCTCCTGTAGCCAAATTGTCTTCTATCCGTTTGTTTATTTCTTTAGAAGCTACTTTTGACTAGCCTTTACATCAACTGGCCTTTACATCAGTTGGACATTAAGAATGCCTTTCTTCATCGGGATCTTCAGGAGGAAGTTTACATGGAGCAACCACCAGGCTTTGTTGCTTAGGGGGAGTCGGGTAAAGTGTGTAAACTTCGAAAATCTCTTTAATGGCCTAAACAGAGTCCTCGAGCTTGGTTTGGTAGACTTTGCAAAATTGTGGTACACCAACACCAATTTGGCATGCAGAAAAGTACTTCTGATCACTCTGTATTTTTCAGAAGTACTAAGACTGGTTTGATTCTACTTGTGGTTTATGTTGATGACATTGTTATTACAGGGAGTGATTCAGCGAGCATTACATCACTCAAATCATTCCTCCAAACTCATTTCCAAACAAAAGACTTGGGATTGTTGAAGTATTTTTTAGGTATTGAAGTGTCTAGGTGTAAGAGAGGCATCTTCTTACCTCAAAGAAAGTATGTCCTTGGCTTACTGAAGGAAACTGGAAAGTTGGGTGTTAAGCCATGCAGTGTGCTCCAATGACTCCCAATTTGCAACTTTCAATTGGTGGTGAGCTGTTTGATGATCCTGAGATGTATAGAAGATTGGTGGGCAAACTGAATTATCTTACAGTAACACATCCAGACATCGCTTACTCTGTGAGCGTCTTAAGCCAGTTTGTGTCTTCTCCTACTGTTATCCATTGGGAAGCTTTAGGACAAATTTTGTGCTACTTGAAAGGTAATCAAGGTCGCGGCCTCCTTTACAGTAATCATGGGCATTTGAACATTGAGTGTTTTTCAGATGCGAATTGGGCGGGTTTGAAAGTTGATAGAAGATCAACTTCAAGATATTGTGTCTTTGTGGGTGGAAACTTGATATCGTGGATGAGCAAAAAACAAAATGTAGTCTCTCGATCGAGTGCTGAATCAGAATATCGAGCTATGGCACAATCTGCTTGTGAAATAATTTGGATTCGTCAGTTGTTAGAGGAAATTGGCTTCAAGTCAGTTGTTAGAGGAAATTGGCTTCAAGTCATCCTTGCCTGCAAAGTTATGGTGTGATAATCGAGCTGCTCTTCACATTGCATCAAATCCATTATTCCATGAACGAACAAAATATATCGAGATTGATTGTCATTTCATTCGTGAAAAGATTCAACAGGGTGTTATCTCTACAAGGCACATTAAAACAAGTGAACAGTTAGGAAATATTTTTACAAAAACTCTAAATGGATCTCGGGTTAACTATCTTTGTAACAAGTTGGGCATGATTAACATCTATGCTCCAACTTGAGGGAGAGTGTTAAGGATTAGTTGTAAATAGAAATAGAAAGTTCTATTAGAGTTAGATTCCTAATAGGCTTTTATAGTATCAATGTATGTGTGTGTGTGTGTATATAATGTGTGTGTGTGTGTTTGTGTTGTGTGGTGTGTGTGTGTGTGCGCCGTGGTCCCTAAATTGATGAAAATAGATATAGAGATATATTGTTCATCACACTAAAATTACAAATTAGAACCTTTTGGAGGGAAGTCTGATAATGAGGTAAGGAGTTGCCAGATATAAATGGAAATGCCAATAGCACAAAATCACAATAGTGAACAAGTATGGTTGAAAACGCCTGATAAGGATAGGTGATGCCCCTAGAATTTATCGTGTGTGTGTGTGTGTGTGTGTGTGCGCGTGTCCCTATTGATGAAAAATAGATATAGAGAATATTTTCTTCACACTAAAATTACAATTAGAACCTTGGAGGAAGTCTGATAATGAGGTAAGGAGTTGCAGATATAAATGGTAATGCCAATAGCACAATCACATAGTGAACAAGTATGGTTGAAAACCCTGATAGGATAGGTGATGCCCTAGGATTTCAAAAATAAGATTCCAATCCTAAATGAGTAAATATGTAATAAATGATAACTTGGTCACATCCTAAGCAGATCAATCGTACCAAAAAAAAAAAAATCTCAACCACCATATCAATACTTTGAATATCATTGACTTCAAATATCAGATTACTTGCTACCATCACATCAAATGACTTTAGGAAAATTGAATCAATTGTCTTTCATATGATTACTAATCATTTTCATGCAATTCCAAATGCAGTGATAGTTGATTAATTGTTTATAAATTTGAAGACCATACATATAATCCAAGAAAATCCCAATCAGCAACTGATCATGAGCATGAATTGAACATAAAAACATTTTGCATAAAGTGGATGTCATTCAACAAGAAGGGAAAATCATGCCAAACACAAAAGTGGTCCTTCAAGAACAGATATTTCATAAATAAATTATGTGCAGAAGATGATGCCCTTTGGTGCAGAGAAGTGCCAAAGATGCAGCAATCCAATAGAACAGAAACCATAATCAGGGGAATATTAGACTGAAGCACCTTATCTTACAAAGTGAAGATGCACAACACAAATGACCTCAGTATCATACCAAAGCTTAGCTATCTAATGACTTCACCGAAAAGGAGACATAAGATTTCAAGCTGCATAGAGCAGGGATATAGAATTGAAGCGGAGGTTAACTCTAAAAAAAACAAGAAGAAAGAAATCCCACTTACACGCATTCTGTGGGCCAACATCCTTCACAAAGGGATGATAAAAGGCGAACAAATTCTTGAGTCCTGAAGGGAAATTCACCCTCTAAGTTGCAGAGAAGACACCGAATAGGACCATCTATGAAACTTTCTCTGTCCCAAAACTGACTACAAAGTGACTCCTGCAGAGTTCAAGGGCAAAAAACTCTCCAATCAATAAACTGTTTAACGATAGATATAATAATGGGAAAAGGAAAAAAGAAAAAAAAAAAAAGAATCAACAACTAATCACTCAGATAAAGGAAACAAATACAGACCTCTCCTCGATAGATCTTGCAAAGAATATCCAATATGAGATTAAAGGTACTGTCTTCTAACTGCAGCATGAAGAAAGCAACCAGGATAAATAAAAAAAAAAATTGAAAAGAAGAATTAAAATAAATATCTTACATGCATTTTCAAAAATAAATTCACTTACCTGAAGGTTTATCTCATAAGATGCAATAAAAGAAGAGACAAAAGTTCTCAAGACACTTCGATAGCCAGCTACAGGCCCCTAGAGATAAAGAAAAACGGAATGCGGACAAGTTAGTGTTATCAATCTTAATATCAATTAAGACACATAGCAGTAACACAAAACGCAAGCTATAATAAACACTTGATTTGACTAGTAACACCAAGAACCCAGTCTTAACAAAAATGTACTCTAATGAGAAGCACTAAGCTTTCATAATTGAAGGAAGGTTCAGAGAACTACATTTCATTTTGATCATTATCCCATGAGAATAGACTACTCTTCATGAAAGGCTCAAATCCAGAATAGCACACTATACTATTATTATCAATTTATCTGTCATAACTAAGCCCTTCCTTATGTCCTTACAACCCACAGATTTTAAGAAGTTTGAGCATTTCAGTATGCATCTAAAACAGAAAAGATAAATCTGATGCATCAGGTGGTGGGAAAGGGAAAAGCAAGATGGACACAAGCAGAAGTAGCAGGGCAAGAGATGGAGACAGATCAAAAACTACTTCATATCCTTCAGCCAATAATCGATAGAAGTATTTTGCTTTTAAAATCTTTATCCAGTGAAATAACTTACATCTGACTCTTTCAGCAAACTGCTATCAAGAATTTCAAGAAAATAATTTAGTGATGCACTTTCAAATGCTTGACGTAGGTAACCTACATGATCAATCTCCTGGCAAGAAGAAAAGAAAAAATAAAAGGAACGGTAAATATTAGTAAGCATTTGTGCATCCTGATTCAAGGAAGCTATTTGAAACAATTGCATACCATTAACACATCATTTTCTTCTTTCCTGGGAAGCGATGAAATTAGACATAGAAATACTGCCCATGTGAGCATTAGTGGTCCTGCTTCTTTCATTTCAAAAGCATTAAAACTAGATATCAATGCATCCATTTGTTGAATATCAGTCAAGGAAAATATGGAAGCGCCCGGCCTATGAAACAAACCAAACACATTCTAGCAATCAGAACAAGCACATAGAGAAGACAATGAAAAGAAAGTAACTTGGATAAGGACAAAAAAACTGATACGGGTGCTGTCATATGATAAGGATCATCGTGAAAGTACATAAACAATTTCCACAGTTTTTGTCCAAAACCTAGACTCCCAAGTCCCAACCTACCCATTCAAGCCCACCCCACTTAGGGTTTTCACTATCAGCGAAAACATGATATTATTGACCATTATGCATTGGATTTTGACCTACAAACAGGATATTCCCTGCAATAATACAGGTGATTAGAAATTTACTCTTCAAAGAAATTTTTCAATAAATTATTCCTTTGACCATAATTGTTCCACTACAAATTATGACACACAAGATTATGACACTAGTTAGTTGAATTATTCATTTAATAGCTATTTTTCCAATTATGAAAAATTATTCACGTTAGCAGTAGTCCAAGTCAATCCAATTCTGTTACATGGTTTCCAATTCCACAACCATTTCCAGTTCTGCTATTTAAAACCCCAGCCTCAACTCTCCCCAAAGAAATGGTGAAACAAAATAGTAACCATGGTGCACCAATGCAAATACATTAAGATCCTGCAAGAATTCTAAACTATTTGAGGCTATCTTATAGATAGCTTTATTGACTCTTTCACACACGGATTGCATTATGTAACAAGGGAAGCATAAATTATTCAGATTTATGAGCAACATAAGAAATAATTATCTTGACAAAATAATACAGTTACTGGTTCAGCAGTCACAGTTTCGTTCTTGGCAGTTAGTGGGTAGCCATTCACAACTAATGACTGCAGAAAATTTTGTTTGATTCTATAATAATTGACGATTATGATGACAAATGGGAACATAATAATTTAGTAACTATTACTTGCAAATGAATTTCTCTCTTTACTACAAACACATATATATGAGTCAAGTTCAATGTATGCATATATAACTTACAAATTTTGTTACTTGGTCTCCATAAGATTTTGTGTGATCTACAATTTTACAAACTAACCACCATGCATGCCGACAAGATATTAAAACTTAGTAACCTAAACTAACTGAAATTGTATCCAATTGACTTAAGAGTTAGTATGATGATAATGTGAATAAACTGCAAATCCAATATGAATCACAGAAAAATTAAAGATCATCTAAGAAGCTATATGTACATACATACGAATATATATAGTTAGTCAGTTAGTTAGTTCGTCAAAAAAAAAATGAAAAAGAAAAAAATAACATTAAATTTAAAGAATGGTTCTTTAAAGCTTGTAAAGCTCTTCTAGTCAAGTGTTCATCATGGAATAATAACAACTGTCTTGCAAATAGACAACCAATTCTGTTAAGTTGTCTGCAAGAATGAGAAAAGAATTTCCAATGGATGTGATAATGGTACATGGCTTTTTTCTTGTTTCTACTGAAATAGATATCAACACCTAGCATTTACCAGATGTTTGTTTCACTAAGTTATGACCCACATGAACAATTTATGAGAGAATTGACAGTAACTATTAGAGAACTGTAAAACCCTAGGCGTAGCAATAGTTGGGTATTTGATGGGCAAAACAGACATGAAGTAACCTATATAATTAATGTCTCAGCCTAAAAAAGACTATTCTGCAGTGGTTCGCGTAACATCCTACCACAGCTAAAACAATCAATATCACAATTTACTAGATTAAACTCAAATGTAGAAGCAACACTACTAAAACCATCGTAGCTAAAAACCTGAAAGGGATTCCATCATGCACCAATTGAAGAAGATTTTCCAGGTCCAAGGTTTCCATAAGGATGAGTAGTAACTGAATTTTGGCATGATAAGAAGACTTTAGTGCCTCACTTGATATCTCCAACCTCCCAAAATTATAAGACCCAGATAAAATCCCCTGTGACATGATGTTAACAAGCTCAATCAGGAAAATATAACAATAAAGAAATCAGCTCCATAAACGAGAAAACTGCACCTTATAAAGTGAGCATAGCTTTTTCCACGTTTCACCGTTACATGTGCAAAGTGATTCATAATAAACAAGGAAGAGAATATCCAACACCAAATTATCTTCAATCAATCTCTCCTCAGCCCACAAAGTGTAAAGATCTACATCCTACAAAGAATTTGCACAATCCACATCTAATGTTAAGAACATTAAATATTGATTTAAAGAAGAGACCAGATATCTATTTGCTCATCTGTATTGGATATCCATTCCAAAGAAGTGAAGGACAAAATCTGAATATACCAAAGGAATTTATAAAGTTCAATGAAACATGAGAACAAAACAAAGAAATACTATCTGACTCTTTAAATTCAATGTAGTCTATATGCATATCATAAAAGTTCCATAATACTTAAACCTATAACTAAAATTGGTCCAACCACTATTTGTAAATGCAAGCCATACTCCTTTTCCTTTTTAGTCTTCCAAAGTCATACTACTTGATTTAAATGCCGTAACAAATCATGGCTGGATCAAGTGGATCAATATGAATCATTTACTTCCATTCGCTTCCTGCAGTATTGGCTTTATGGGTTTAAAACTTAAGAAATGGTTAAATGTTAGTTAACTGTGATTTTAAATTTATTAAACAAAAAAAAAAAAAAAGACGAAGGCAAATATAACAAACAATGAAGAAAACCAAAGGTGGCTAAAAAAGTGACATACCCCTGAAGAGCAGCTAGTTGTTCTTGCAGTAAAGAAAACCAAATGACAACTAGTTGTCATTTAGGCACACATAAAACATTAACTGTATGTCGCTTAGGTATACAAAGAAAACCCAAAATGACAGCTAGTTGTCATTCCTACTTAAGTGGTAGGAACCCAACTGTGAAACAACATATGAGGCTTGTCTTAGATTCCATATTGGAAGTATGAGATTTCAATAAGGGGTTTACATGAACTTGGGAGTCTCCAACCCTAATGGCTAGCTTTTGAGGTATGATTCTCCCAACCGGTGTTAAAGCCAACTACCATGTCTCTCATTTGCAATCAAGGGGCATGGGTGGTGACATCAGAATTGCAGTGTTCACCCAAGGCTAGGAAAATCTAGCACACAGCCATCTTAGCAAAAAGCCAGACTGCAGAGTGGAGCATGGTAGGATATTAGAATCCTAGTTGCAAGACAAGGTATTGGACTTGTCTTGGATCCCACATTGAAAGTATGGGATTTCAATGTAGGGTTACATAAACTTGGGCTCTCCAACCTTAACGGCAAAAATTTTGAAGTATGGTTCTCCCAAGGTAATTACATTAAGTTTCTATTTTGCAAATTATTATACTCTGATTGTGTATTTTCTTTGCACTGTGATGTAGCAAAAATGACCTGGACCCTAATTGGTTAGTATATTAGAATAGACAAGAATATTGAAAAGAGTGAATTAATAGAACATAATTCAACCAAAAAAGGGGCTGAATCTTCTGGTGACACATCACACAACTCGGGAAAACAAAGACCAATAAACTGGTTTTTATTACTAAAAAATTTCTCAAAATCTCAAATCTCCAGTAAACAGAGATTACAGCCCTCTAAATAGCACATAATCCTACTAAAATAAGTTTTAATTATAAATATTAATAGAATAAGGACTAAAACATAAATCCGACGAGAATAATATCCTAAATAGTAAGTGAATTAAAAAAGGACTGGACTACTCTAAATAAAGTTGAACTTAAATAAAAAATAAATGACCCTAATTCAGAACTTCCAACAGCAGTGTGAATAGTGGTTGCTACAGACAGTAACATGAACAGTAATTAGAGAAAATTCCTAAATTCTGAACTTTTGATATTTGATATTCTTTTCCATTTAACCTCTCCAATCTTCTTTGTTCTTTGATATACTTTTCTACTACCTACTCTTATCACCAACATTTTTGTACCCATATGGTGAGCTATCACTGTGACTTTAATTTAACCTACTACCGCTACCCCATCTTTTTCATTATTTTATTGTTTCTCAAGTTTTGGTAGTGAACTTTTTCAGATCGATATTTGTCAAAATAGGGGTTATCATCCATGTTTGTCAAAATATGTGATATCTTAATTTATTTGTTTATTTTACAGGAATATATTATCTTTCATTATTTTAAGAATTTATGCCAAATCTTCTAACTTGATTAAATTCAACTATGACTGCAAATATAATATTCTATCACTTCTCCTTTCTTACCAAAACCTCTAAATTTGAGTAGGGGAACTCCCACCAAGGTCACTAGACATATCCTATTCTCCTAAAAAAGCACCAAAAAAGTAGACCATGAAACATGACAATAAAGAAAAGGAGGGGAATGCATCTCACTGTCCTCAAAATACAAGACTGACATGTATCAAGTGCTGAAGTCCTTTCATATATCAAGTGATAAAGTCATGTTCAATCTTTCTATTTTCAAACAAATAATCCTTGTTCCAGCCATAATCCTAGACGTCATCCTATACCAATTTCCTCTTCAAAATGCCCCCAGAGTGACCCTGTGTAGGAAAAATAATGATATCTTCACAATATTCAGTGCCATTTCATCTTCATATTAGAAATATGTTCGCTTCATTTAGCACCAATGATTTAAATGCATTTATTGCACACCCACCCCATTTACTCCCTTGCAGGCCAATTCGATCTTTATGAATGTTTACCTCTAACTCTAAAAGCATTTGGACAACAGGCATGGGTAATAAGAAATAAAGAAGCAAGCAAAAGATTGACAAAAAAAATCATAAAAAGAAAGAGAGAGAATAGTAGCAGATGTAATATATAATTGGCCTAGACTGCAACCATTACCTCTATTCTTTAAGTAGTTATACACATCAAAGTAGACAATACAACTGAACGAAATTCAAATACTATTGACCAAATTAGTTCCACGCAATCAAATATATTTAACAGAATGCAACTCAATACAATGCGCACCAAATGCAAAACTTGATGAACCACCAGTCACGGAAAACACAAATAACTAAAAGAGGAGACAAAAGAATACTATTCAGTACCTTGTACTCATTCTAGTTTCTTATTGTATACAATTATAAGATGTAGGAGTTTGGAAATATTAATTCATTTAGACATACCATCTCCTCAGGATGACTGGAGGATAGAAGTTCCTGGAGGACAGAGATTAATTTGCATTCCAGTCCATCAGAAATCAGCTTTATTGCCTCATCCCTAATGAAATTTTCTCCTTTCGAGCTAATTCCAACATATACTGCACCAAAGATGCAAATGCAGCTATTAGAGTAATAAGATTCACAAATCAACTTATCAAATAAATACAACACTGCTAAATGTGAGGAGCAATTTCCAGCTTATGATTCAAATGGTTCCCGCATTCCATTTCATGCCCCAAAAAAAAGGAAAATAAATCATCTCAGAATTGAAAATAAGAAAAAAAAGAGAGAATTAAGAGAATTTCCAGGGCAGACTTACAAGCATGCGTGAGAATCTGCCTGGTACACTTCAACAAGCACTGTCGCTCAATGTAGTACTGAAGCATTATCTTCACAACAATAGAACCATAAAAAATATCAGATGCAATTCTACTTACAGATAAATATCATTAAACATAGAAAACTGCTGTTCTTACTATACAAGTAATTTTCTAAATCAATAATCAACGCTGGTCTAGTCTACCCATTTAGAATTAGCTAACAAATTATAACACTTCAATTTTCATAAATTAGTGTGCAATGGCAATCAAACGGGAGGGAACAACAAACATAATAGCCAAAAATTTGAACATCTTTTGAACACATCAAAGAATTTATAACAGACAGAAATTCATGAAGAAATAAAAACTAAAAAAAAAGTCAAACAGATCGCAACAATAACCATATAAAACATAAGACTAAAGTTTGTAAAAAATTTGAAGGTTGGATTCACAATGTGGAAAACAATTTCGTCATTACATACAGAACAACAGCATTCACTGTTAAGCAAACACAGTTGAACTTGAAGTCTCTGTTTCATTTTCCATTCACCCTATAAGACACAGTTTCCATGCTTTGAGCCAAGGACAACTCCATGGTACAATGGGTCTCCTTGAATATTTCTAACAACATCACCACATAAACAAGAATACTAGATGTCATTAAAGTAATCAAAATCTCCAATATTGACTTAATTCCAAAGCCAAACAATTACACATAAAATAACAACATATGTCCTAAGATTTTATTAAAACCACATGCAACCGCTAAAGTAGTCGAAGCAAGAAAGCTACTAACCACATGAAGATATTCTTCAACTATGGAATCAGCAGCTAAACCATTGCTCTCGAGAGACCTTTCCACAAGAATGTATGACTGCACCTCATCTAAATGCTGGAAAAATAAATGCAAGTTTATTACACATAATCAACAATATATTGCTAAAACATAGCTATATTTTAAACCAAATAAAATCAGAAAAAGAATAATTATTGCAGAATAAGTTCATTTTTCATGAACAATCGATCCTAAACCGTATTTTTCTTAAATAAGCGTATAAGAAACTGACCAAATAAGAACTTATTTGCAAAGCCTTATCTTTCAATTCACTCTTTATATTCAATTCATGAGAACCAACTTTCACTAGCTGCGAATTCAAAACTTCTCTTGATTTCGCACTTGGGGGCTTGAAGAGAGACACTGTGTCAACAAACCAATCATGATTCTCCTTCAACTGCTTCGCCTACAAAATGCATACGCAAAATTCACTATATTGACAAAAGCAAAGACCAGTTTGAGTAGGGAGAAAGAGAGAGGGGGAGAGTCGTTTACTAGGGATGCAGGGAGGTCTGAAGAGAGAGGAGCATTTTCGAGGTCAGTGAGAAGAGAAGTGAAAGAGTCCCACCAGAGGGAGGGATCGGCGGACTTAGGGTTCGACATTGGAGGAATAAAATTACAAGGTGCTGAGAAAAATGAATTTGAAACCCTAGAAGACGTTGCAGCAACAGCCAGCAGCAGAGAGTAGAGAGATTTGGGTTTAATTTGATTTCACTTTTCGCGCTTCTTCAGAATTGTTTTTTTAGCACATAGTACTCGCACACTAGGGTGCGCAAGATCTTGCTTTTAAGACACAGCTTTTGAATTTTGGTAGGGTAGGCTGTAGGCTGTCGCTCGCTGTTTGGCGAAATGACAATTTGTGTTATAAAACGATCAGGAGTCTGCTAAACAACTTGGTTGTTTAAAACAATATAAACGACCCCGAGTCGCCGTACTACCAATAATTAAAACATATGTTATTATTTCTAAAGATTTTGAGGGATTGAAGTATTTTAGAATAACTTTTATATTTCCGGATTAAAGTATAATTATTTTAATACTAGTCGTGAGCCTCCGGGATGCTCAGGATGTGAAATATTTTTATTAATTTTAATGGAAAATTAAGAAGGATGTTGTTTTTTTCTTGTCACTTGAATAATTCACTTAGATAATTTGATTCAACGATGAAAGGTAGAATTATTATTATTTGTATATATTTTAAATTTATGAAATATTTTTTATTTTAGATTGGATTGACATGTAATGTAAATTTTATAATTTTAAATAAAAGTTTGTAATATTTTTAAGGCAATGCAAGTTATAAAACATGGGTCATGTATTTAAAATCTTATAATTTAAATTAAATTAAAGAATTAAAACAAATATGATAGAAGAAACTGCAACAAAAGTAAATATAAAATACAAAGTTGCAAGTGATGATTCTTAACAAGAAAACCTTAAATATTGCAAAGGGGAAAATTGTAGAAATTCCTTGTGAATAGGTTGCCTTTTCAATTCTTCAACTATTAGAGTTTTTTTGGGCAAAATTAATTGTTTTGGTAGTTGTTAGTTGTTTGAATAATTTTTTTATAAAACACTAAAAAGCTAAATATTATATAGGTTAACTTTTTATAAAACGCTACTTTTAACCCCTAAAAGCTAGTTCAAATGCAATATTTTCAAATACTATAAAAAATAGCGTTTAGTCAAGACGCTAAAAACTACTTTAAAAACTGTTACCAAACACAGCTTTAGTTTTGATGCCATTAATGTAACATCCCTTTCCGGTCCACCCGTTAACCCGAGTGAACCGAACCGAGACGCTACAATCTGGTTGAACCTATGTCCTTTCAGGCTGATTTTTTTTATAAACACTAAAAGCTAAATATTATAATAGGTTAACTTTTTATAAAACGCTACTTTTTAAACGCACGAGAATGTAAAAACAATGAGAGGACTGGTCGTGTGAGGATTAGACCGGTCGGCCAGGTATGGGGATTGGCTCCCCGGGTGCACACGTTTGAGAGGATGCGCCATGTGAGAGTATGGCTCATCGGGGGTTTCGGTGATGCCACTTGTAACATCCCTTCCCGATCCACCCGTTAACCCAAATGAACGGAGCCGAAATGCTATAATCTGGTTGAACCTATATCCTTTTATGCTGATAATGCTGAATATAATATCATGCTGTTGCTTTCTATAGAAATGTTCTTCATATATACAAGACATTATACTAGTTTCCAAAATGAAATGGGCCCAGCTATGCGCCCTATACATGCCATGATAAGTATAGACAGAACCAAAAGATCAAAATGAGTAGCTACCCTGAAGACTGGGTCTTCCAAAGATGAACTGCAGTAGTTGTATCATGACTCTCTATATGGCCCAGTCCCAAAACCTATGAGTTAAACCGGTAACTCGCTGAATAATAAAACTCAGTGGATATCTCAACGTATAAAGAAACATGTAAGCACACACATATGTATAAATAAACATGTAAGCACACATATCATGATACTTCCATTTGCTATATGAATTAAGCAATTTTTATTAACATCGTATAATTTATAAATAACACAATCTCATAACTGTATGGCTCCATAAGGTTATAGTGGTGATAACAGGAAACTGTATGAAACTGGATGAATCTGTATGAACTGGGCTGCTAGCCCATATATGATCATATCCACTCACGGCCTGTAGCCGGAATATCCAAAACTGTAATGGGCGCAGGATCTGCTATCGTTTATGTCGCGACCATAAGCCTTATCTACGTGTTTCCTAACCTGAACCTTAATGGACCTAACCTTAATGGAGCATATTATCGGTATGTCAATAGTATAAAACAAAAGCATATTAATTGCTTCATAAATTCATAAACCATACTGCTTACCTGTATACTGATAGCCTCGCAAAGCGGGCAACTTGTGTTATGTTAGTTTCACATAATTTGCATGATTGCATTTGTTTTTATACATTTACTCGTGTTGTCTTTTTGGTTTAAAGTGATTGTAGGAATACAATTTGAGCATAGGAATACAATTTCATAGAAAAAGAGGTCCAAAAGGTATCAGAACACAAGTCGAGAGCGCGACATTAAAATTTGCGAGCGCAAGAAGCACACAAGAGAGTCAGAGAGTTTACATGCACAAATCGCGAGCGCGACATGAAATTCGCGAGTGCGAGTCGTGTTTCCAGCCTGCACATGTTGTACTATTTTGGTTATATCTCTCAATTTATAACTCTGATTTAGGTGATTCAAAAACCCACGGACAGCTAAAACATAGAGGAACAAATAACTCTTCTATACCACTTCCTAATCCTAATTCCAATCATTAAACAGGGTCAAAATCAGGGTGAAAGTTTTGGGTCAGTTTCTTCCACAAACCTGTTTTAGCATGAAGCATAAATCTACTTCATTTAGTCATTCTCATCCCAATGTTTTCTCAACCATTTCATTTTTTCTTAACTCAACATTCAAACAACCATCTCTTCTCATTATCAACACACTAACACAAATTCTCATGCAAAAACAAATTCTCATGCAAGAAAATTTGGTAAATTAAAAGAAATATCAAACTTTCACTTAAAAGCTTGAAATCTTCTTCTACCTTTGAGCTCACCTCTCCTATACATAAGAACTCTTATGAATATTCTAAAATATCACTAAATTAGAGGTTGAATAAAATAGAGTTTCAAGAAATTCTACTTACTTGGATAAAATAGAGGTTGAATTTAATGCTTAACTACCATTAAAATGGATGGAGAAGGGAAGGTGAGTAAAGGAGATGAAGGAGATGAAAATAAATATGAAGAAGGGAAAGTGAAATGAAAGTTTTGGGAAAGCTCCAAAAATATCATGGAATGGATGTGAAAAATTATCAAATAGTACCTCAATTGTCAATAGGTTTCAACTTAATACCTAAACTTTATATTTTAGTACAGGGAAGTCATAATCCTTATACTGTGATCTTTTTATCTCATTCAAGTAAGTCCACTTCTTTCCATTCTTATTGTACATCCCATACTACCCCATTCTGGACTCTAATGGCTTGAACCGGTTTTTGGTTCAGCCCGACTTAACTCGACTCTATGCAACGACTCGATTCAGTAGCCCGACTTAACTCGACTCTATGCAACGACTCGATTCAGTAGGATGTCACAATTAATATGATCTCTCGATATTTATTTAATATCACTATTTAATAAATATTATTTAACATAGCTTTAAATTTGTGACAAATTATAAATATAAAAAATATAATTAAATTAAAAATGTAAAAAAATAATAATGCCAAATGTTAAGTCAGCATGCGATGTCAGTTTCCAAGTTTCTGTTTTTATATAGATTTATATATATATATATAGAGAGAGAGAGATTGTTTGACATATCTCCGCGCAATACTGTATGAAAAATACTATAACATGTCTACAAAAATTAACTTAAGGTATTTTGTTTTCTTTTTTTTTTTTTGTTCTCACAAATGATAGAAATCTCAATGGTCCCAGCACTTAAAAATTAAAATATTCTACCACCATTCTTATATACACCAAATTAACCTTTAAATCAACTAAAAAATAAATTAAGGAAAAAAATTTAAATTAAATATGTAATTAATTACCTCGTTCACAATAGTCAAATTGCTAATAACCATTGCATGCTCTTTTTCTTGGTAATTAAAGGGTTAAAAACATAAATTCATTTTGATGGTATCATTAACTTTTATTTTGACTTATCGAACAATTTAACATACAAAATTATATATATTAAATACTTCAATTTACAAAGTGAATTTCATCAAACACTTCAACCTACAAATTAGATTAATTAAATACCTATTAGATAGTTAAAAACGTGAAAATTATTAATTTCAAAAATTGTGATAACCACATATCAAATATTATTTTGAATATAAAAGCCAAAAACTCTGAAAAATATTGTTGTTATTATGAAAAAGTATGCAATGTTATGAAAAATCGTAATATTAGGGTATAATAGGCCTCCTTCAAATTCGAGGGTACAACAAAATTAAAGTAAAAAATTTCAATAATGAATTTATATATTTAGCTATAGATAAATACCACACGAGTGTCTATTATTAAAGGTGGGAACATGTAATCATTGATTTTAATGTTGAATAAGTAATAGTTCTGGACAATATTGTCATTTTCTTTATATCCCTTAGAAATTCACCTTATTTGTTTCTTAACTTCCTTGAAGTACCCTAAATTTTAGGTAGGCATGACCATAATTTCAGAATCATCGGTTCTATAATTATTATAAGAAAGGTGGAATCAAAACTTAATTGTTTTTAAGTGGTTTTTAAGATAGTTTGGAACTAGAACCATCAATATGATTTTATTTTAATTTGAAATCGAAATTAGATAATATTTTTCAAACTTTTCTTATTTTTTTTAAGTTATAATCTTTCTCAATTTTTTTTTAAAGTTTTGTACCTTAGATAATAATAATGATAATAATAATAAAACGGTATTATATAAAATATTAAACCAATTTAATGAAATGTCTTAAATAGTTTAATTAGATTTACAGTAGGTAACAATATAAAATAGGTTAAAAAATAAGCCAAATATAAATACCATTAAGTTAGAAATTTTAAGTGACAGCAAATTAGATATTAAAAAAAGGAAAATTAATTTTTATATCTGATATTATTTGACTCGTTTTGTTATTATTATAAATAATATATGACATTTTACATTTATATAAGGAACTTATAATATAACAATTTTGCAAAAAACAAAAAAAAAATTATCATACAACAAATCTATATAGGAACTGAAAAATAATTCTATATTAGAAATTACGTGCCATTACATTAAAAATAAGTCTATATTATATTAGGTCTGAAATCTTGTAGGAACC